TGAGGCAAGCTAGGACTGGATTGTGGGTGAAATCGGAAAACTAAAGCCCTGGCCAGAGGCAAAGCTCTCGGTAATACACGAGGGCGAACTGCCTAAGCCTACGCTGGGCATTACCTACTTGCCCCGCAGCGAAGCCGACTCTCCAGAGGAGGCGGCTGTGCTGTTGAGGGCACAAAATGAAGGGCTCCATACTGAGCTCTGGAGAATCCTCCACCGTAGGGACGAGGAGAATGGGTTTCTAGTAACCTTTTCTCTGGACGACCCATCGGCGGAGGCTCTATCGGAAGGCTGGCGGCAGAGTCATCCTTGGCTTTAAGATGATAACTTTTAAAGTCAGGGGAGGCTCTGAAGCAGCAATGGAGCTCGAACTGCCCCAAACCCAACCCCAATCCCCACAGCCCCCCACCTCTCGGGGTGAGGCTGGAACGCCACCGGTGAGAGTGTAAGATTCTTATCAATACCAAAGGCAGTAGACCCAGAGCTTGTATAATTTATAATAAGAATGGACGCACAGGGGCCAGAGTAATCATTTGCTCAGCCTATCTTCCCGGCGAGTACGCAGATCCTACCATCGAGTTAGAGCGAGTGGCGGAGTTCGCCCGAAAACACAACACCGAACTTGTGGTGAGTTATGATGCTAATGCTCACCACAAAGCCTGGGGAAGCACCAAAATCAACGAAAGAGGTGAGTTACTTTATGATTTTCTCATCTTCAACCGCCTGGTAAGCTTAAACTTAGGTTGTACACCGACCTTTGTAACGCGTGCTAGGCAAGAAGTGTTAGACATAACCTTTGCTACCAATAACATGTCCAGGCGGATAAATGACTGGCATGTTAGTAGCGAAAACTCGATGTCTGATCACAAGCACATTAAGTTTGTGATTGGAGCATCACCATCCTTTGAAACCATTACTTTTAGGGATCCGAAAGCGACCTCCTAGGATATCTATAGAGATAGCCTAAGGAGGAATTTGGAAACGTTTTCTAAAAGTATCAAAACAATTGGAGGTCTGGAGTTAGCGACGAAGACAGTAATCGTAGGTATCTGTGAAGCCTTCGAGGACAGTTGTCCCGTCAAAACCAAGACCTCAATACGAAAAGTTTCTTGGTGGAATTCTAAGCTGAAAGACCTTAGGGAAAAGACCAGGAAACTATTTAATAGGGCTAAGAAAACCATAGAGCGGGATATTTATAGTGCAGCCCTAACTGAATATAATAAAGAAATTAGGAAAGCCAAGAGAGCATCGTGGAGGAAGCTATGCGAGGAAGCTGAATCTTTGTCTCGCAGTGCAAGACTACACAAGATGCATGATCGAAAGCTAAACCTAATCAGATCGGGTTTCTTAAAAAGCCGAATGGTAACTTCACTAATAGTGAAACAGAAATATTGGAGTTACTAGCTAAAATACAACGCCCTGGGTTATAAAAACAGGGTCGTGTTAAGATGGGTTCCGGGTCACGAGGGTATTGTAGGCAACGAATTTGCTGAAAAACTTGCACGGGAGGGCTCAAAGTGCATACAAGTTTGGACCCGAGCCATTTTGTGGAATCTCAAGAAGCCTAGCCCGATTGTCCCTTGAAACTCTTTATTACAATAAATCACTTAAGATCTGGTCTGACACACTAGGCTTAAAACATTTAAAACCTTAATCTGGGCTTTTAATCGTAAATTCGCTTCAGAATCCCAGGGATTAAGTAAAAATAAATTGAGCATTCTGGCAAGAGCCGTTAGGGCTAGTTGTTGTCTTAAGAAGCACATGTCCATCCTAGGACTAAGCAACTCAAGGATGTTTTGGTTCTGTTCCGTAACGGAACAAACGCCTCTACACATCCTTACCGTTTGCGGACCCTTAATGCGCAAACGTAACACTCATCTGGGACACTATCTACTCCGCCCAGAAGAAGTAAAATTGCTCACGGCTGAGCAACTCCTTCGATTCATTGAAGACATAGGGCTTAGCAGTGAACTATAGCCATAGCAGCGATCACAATTGATCTTCTAGGTCGCAGTGATACTGGTCTCTTTACCTAGACCTGCATAGTTGCTCGCACATAATAAAAAAAAAGTCCCGGGCGAAGATAAAATTACAGCGGAGCTTCTGAAAGCGGGTGGAAAACCGTTACTTGAAGTACTTCAGAGGCTCTTTAATTCCGTCCTCCATGGTGGCACTACTCCAGAGACGTGGAGCACTCCAGAGACACTCCAGAGTGTGGTGGTCTTGTTCTACAAGAAAGGTGACAACGCCCTCTTGAAGAACTACAGACCGATATGTCTTCTGAGCCGCGTCTACGTCCTGTTCGAGAGTCATTATGAATCGTCTCGCACGCAGACTCGACGACTTCCATCCTCCCGAACAAACCGGTTCCCTAAAAGGCTTTAGTACCATAGACCACATACGTACCCTTCAGCAAATTGTACAGAAGTCCGAAGAGTACAATCTGCCACTTTGCTTGGCGTATGTAGACTATGAGAAAGCCTTTGATTCCGTTGAAATTTAGGCGGTGCCACAGTCTCTTCAGTGGTGCCAAGTTGACTGTCGCTATATCGAAGTGCTGAAGTGTTTGTACAGTAGGGCTACGATGGCTATCCGAGTACAGAACTAGAGTACGAAAGCTATCCAACTGTAGCGAAGTGTAAGACAAGGTGACGTTATATCCCCGAAACTCTTCACCACTGCATTGGAAGACGTTTTCAAGCTACTGGACTGGAAGGGATATGGTTTTAACATCAATGGCGAGTACATCACTGACACCTTCGATTTGCCGACCATTTAGTCCTTATGGCAGAATCGCTGGAGGACCTAAGCGCTATGCTCAATGACCTCAATAGTGCCTCCCAACGGATAGGTCTTAAGATGAACATGGATAATACAAAGATCATATTTTGTCCTTGTCACGTCTATGCCGGTAGTTGTTGGGAGCACTAAGCTCAAAGTTGTTGACGAGTACGTTTACCTGAGATAAATAGTCCGACTAGGTAAGTCCAACTTCGACCTGGAGGTCAATCGACGGATTCAACTGCAGCGTTCGAAAAATTACGTTACATCTTCTCGTCAGGTATACCTCAAAAACCTGAAAACGAAATTTTACAACCAGTGCGTGTTGCTAGTGATGACATATGGAACTGAGACGTGGTCCTTCACTGCCGGCAGTATGAGGAGGCTCGAAGTCGCTAAGCAAGGAATAGAGAGGACTATGCTCGGGGTTTCTCTGCGTGATAGACTTAGAAATGAGGTTATACGCAGTAAAACCAGAGTAGCCGACATAGCACAACGGATTAGTAAGCTGAAGTTGCAATGGGCCGGCCATATAGCTCCAAGAACCGATAACCGATGGGGAAGAAAGGTTTTCGAGTGGCAGCCTCGTACCGGTAGACGTAGTGTAGGGCGACCCTCCACTAGGTGGAGTGACGACCTGGTAAGATATGCAGGAAGTCGATGGATGCAGGTGGCTCAGGACCGTGCTTTATGGCATTACTTGGGGGAGGCCTATGATTAGCACTGGACTTGTGAAGGGCTGTATGATGATGATGATGTGAATTATGAGAAAGCCTTTGATTCCGTTGAAATTTAGGCGGTGCCACAGTCTCTTCAGTGGTGCCAAGTTGACTGTCGCTATATCGAAGTGCTGAAGTGTTTATACAGTAGGGCTACGATGGCTATCCGAGTACAGAACTAGAGTACGAAAGCTATCCAACTGTAGCGAAGTGTAAGACAAGGTGACGTTATATCCCCGAAACTCTTCACCACTGCATTGGAAGACGTTTTCAAGCTACTGGACTGGAAGGGATATGGTTTTAACATCAATGGCGACTACATCACTGACACCTTCGATTTGCCGACGATTTAATCCTTATGGCAGAATCGCTGGAGGACCTAAGCGCTATGCTCAATGACCTCAATAGTGCCTCCCAACGGATAGGTCTTAAGATGAACATGGATAATACAAAGATCATATTTTGTCCTTGTCACGTCTATGCCGGTAGTTGTTGGGAGCATTAAGCTCAAAGTTGTTGACGAGTACGTTTACCTGAGATAAATAGTCCGACTAGGTAAGTCCAACTTCGACCTGGAGGTCAATCGACGGATTCAACTGTTTGAAAAATTACGTTACATCTTCTCGTCAGGTATACCTCAAAAACCTGAAAACGAAATTTTACAACTAGTGCGTGTTGCCAGTGATGACATATGGAACGGAGACGTGGTCCTTCACTGCCGGCAGTATGAGGAGGCTCGAAGTCGCTAAGCAAGCAATAGAGAGGACTATGCTCGGGGTTTCTCTGCGTGATAAACTTAGAAATGAGGATATCCGCAGTAGAACCAGAGTGACCGACATAGCCCAACGGATAAGTAAGCTGAAGTGGCAATAGGCCGGCCATATAGCTCGAAGAACCGACAACCGTTGGGGAAAACAGATTCTCGAATGATAGCTTCGTACCGGCAGGCGAAGTGTGGGGCGACCCACCACTAGATAGAGTGACGACCTGGTAAGACGTGCAGGAAGTCGATGAATGCAGGTGATTCAGGTGGAGGAAAATCAGCTCATGTAAATTTATTTTAATTTTTTGTAGTTTTCGTACTTTGACTAAATTTGCAGTGTTTGGCTTTATGTTTATAATATAAAAAGTTTAAAACATTTCGACACTGTACTTTATTAATGTTATTTGATGCCATTAACAGAAACTTCCAGAAACATATTATGTATATAATACGTTTTTGACCTGTTGCAAAAACATATAAAAAATAAAAACAATATAAAAACTGCAAATAAGAAGGAAATTTATCCTTAAAAATGTAGCTAATGGCATAAATTAGCTCTAAATCAAGTTTGCGAATAATAATAATGTATATCTACTGACTTATATAATAAAATCACTTTAAAACAAAAGTAGTTTAGATTTAGTTTTGGAACCTCAAAGACGTTGTTATAAAACGCGTTGTATTCCTTTTTCAATGTACTATATTTAACTGTAGTTAGTATCACAGTAGTAACTATCACTATGGTTTGCCGTAGAAAGCTATTGCAAATATCAAGGCATTGTGCGCGATGGTCAGTTACACTTATTTATGTATTGCTTTATTGTTATCATTTAAGTTTAAGTGGCAGAGCTATGCTGCAGTTATATTAGTAGTATAGTTGTAGCACGAATGGGTCGGCTCGACCGGGGAAGGACCACGCTCTCACAGAATACCAGCGTCAAATAGTAACTTAATGCTACTGTGTTGATAACCGGAGACCCTTTTTACTGGAAACGAAGCATTCCTAACCTCAAGTCCTCACGGATGACAACGCATCTGCATTTTGATTCGTGATCGAGTATGGATGTAGATGTCTATGGGCCGCAGCAACCACTTACCATCAGGCATCAGGTGGGCTGTGTGCTCCTTTGTCGTCCTATCCTATAAAAAATATCTGTGGTTTTATATATAAAAGTAAGAGCGACAAACGAGCACATATTCCAAGCTATTCCATTCCATTTTGGCCAACACGCTACCATAAACCGCATAGAGAAAAGGGAAAAAAGGCCACTTCTATTTTTAAAAACAAAATGTAGTAATATTTTATAGTTATCTTAGATATAATATCATACATTTTGTACCAAATATTCGTTTATTATTGAACGCACCTGGTTTAAAAAAGTTGAAATGCTGTTAGTACATATTATTGTTGGGATATCTGTATAGTTTTCTCATCTGGTTGGGTTCTATAAATATATAATTATAAATTAAAATGAAAAGATAAATATACATAAATATCAATAAAATAAAATAAAAAATAAATAAAGATCCAAAGAGATGGAAGCCCTCGGCAGGGGGAGACCAAACGGCCGAGGGTTAGGAGGAAATGGAAAGAAACCGGCGGACGATGCGGGCGGTATCGAGGAGCACCGCCTTCTGCAAATGCAGAAGAAAGAATGAAATTATTATTATCATTATTTTGCGTTTTTTATTTATATTATGTTTATTTGATCTAATATTTTTAGATACTACTCCTCACTTAGATTTCCAATTGAGCTGTGAAGACGTTTTACAACATACGATACTATGACAAATATCCAAATCTTAGTCTTTGCGCCCTTTTTATTTGTAGTTTCTTTTTGTTCTTACTTAGCCTGTGAAAGTCTAATACTTTCGACTTGTAGCTTGAAATATTGAATGCATGTGATCCTTGGCGTTGCAAAAAGATTTAATCATCACGTAAGCAGGCAGATTGACGGTCGCAGTACCAGACCTTTCGCATCATAAAGAATCCATAAGATCATTTTGGCTTATCCCAAAGTCGCCTTTTACGACACAAAAGAAACGAACTTCTCACAGGAGCAGAAGCCATTGCGCCCAATAGGTTCTCTTGAGCCCTTAACATACGTAAATACCAATTTATTTAATAACTTAATAAACAAAATAATATCAAAAAAAATTACAGGGCACCCGTTCAAAAAGCACCGACAACTATTTCACCGAAATTTTTAACTGAATTTAATAGTTTCTATCCCAGACTCATCGACTCGGCGATGGCTCGTTACAAATATTTAAATGACACACACGTGAAGGACCGAACTAAAAAGGTACTGAGTGCGTATGTATTTAATTATTTTTAATTAGTATAATTGCGACAAAAATGCCTCATACTCACGTAAGCCATCAATGACTGACCACAATTTTATTAACGTTCTTGTATTAGCCGGACTTTTATGTATTTATATATCTATAAAGCATACTTCCGTTGCATAAATATCAAACCAAATCCGAACGTGATCTAAAATTTTTAAGCTATATTAAAACCCATAACACTATAATCATTTCATAACTATGACCTATTATTGTGTGTTCTTTAATTTTTAAACTCTAATATAATTTTATACACTAATATTAACACTTGAAACAGATTTTAGAATACCAACCCTTAAAAAAATTATCTATTCAAGGAGAGTTACTGCTATATATTTACGAGTTAATGGAAAAGCCAGAGAATATAAACGAGAAAATGTTGCATCAAGCTTACACGGTAGCTTCTTTGATAGAAACGGTAAGATAATAAACTTAGTATTAGTAATAAGGAAATTTTATAAAAAAATACATGTTATCCACCTGCTACCCGCAGAAATTAACTTGAAACATGGCTAGGATGACTTCACAGTGTATAGAGTCCATATTGAGACGACGAAGGTGTGGTCGGAGGTCGGTGCCGGTGAACGAGATGGGTATACGCATTCCGAGCGGGCATCAAGTTGATTTCTGCATGTTTAAAGTCTACATTTCTACGTCGTAATCAATAAGAAAAAGCCTTTTATTCCATGCTAAATAAGTTTTACAATATAAATTTTTTACAATGTAATTTGCATTTTATAAAGGAAATTCGAAATATAAATTTAGATTTTTTTTAGATTTTAATACATTAATTTATTTCAATTTTTTAATTTTTATTTTTTTTTTAGATTGTAATATATTAATTTATTTCTATATTGTTGAATGAATTTGATTGAGTTAATTAATGTCAATTTTGAGTATGATAATTATTTTTCATAATATTTGGTTAAAATTTAAATATGCATTATATTAGTAACATTTACATTTTCAATCTACGTAATTGATTTATAAACTTTAAGTGACTATTTTAAATGGATTCGGTTTTTTATAACATTAGGAATAGGATAAAATTAATTTAAGTTAGTTGCAAATTGTCAAAAAATAATTTAATTTATAATTTATTAAGGATTTATATACTCATTTGAGTTTGTTTGCTTTGCATGGACTTAGGTGAATGCCTCCTCCAAGATTTACATTTGTCTCTGTTTTTTGCTATTTGTGTCCAACGTGTTCCAGTGATAATCAATTATCAATATTCTAATATCACGCCAAAATTAAGCATTATTACAATTTTTTAGTTAGAAGGTAAAAGACATGGACAATCACGTCTGCGGTGGTAACCGTAGACGGGATTATCCAAGTCATTTGCCTTTATCATGCAGTAGATGTAGGAAATGTTTGATTTGAAAAAAATGATAACATGATACTAAGAAGTAGAGCTTTCTTTTTTCTGCCCAGGATTCAATATACACATATCCGCACATGTCACAGCAATTATTAAGAGTACGATTTCATAAATAAAACTGATTAAATATGTTTAAAAATTGCAGGTTCAAGCGTACTTCATAATTCAGGATGACGTTTTGGACAATGCGAAAATGCGATGCAAAATGCCGTGTTGGCATTTACTACCTGACGTAAACCACATATGCATAAATGACCTAAACTTAATGCGATACTTTGCGAATGAAATTTTGAGGCAAAATATACATGAATCCATTTTCAACAAATTAGCTGACATTTTTAACGAGGTGAGAAAAGACCTACTTCAAAGTGCGCACCTAATTGTTTATTTTTCAGATTTTTTAAAACCAGTTGTCGTCATAGAAATAATTTCATGGTACTTGATATGCTAACTCTGCCACGTGAAGGGCACATGGTTAAGGTACTGAATATTGAAGGTATGCGTTTCTGGCCTAGAATAATTAGCTTTATTAGAATCACAAAGGATAAGGAGGGTACTGTATATAAAAATCCCATAACGCAAACGTTTAAACGTTTTTCAACATCCACGAAGACCAATGCACCCTACGTAATCAATCAACGCAAATTCAGTATATACTCAGCAGCTTTCTTAAACTTCAACCATGTATGCCCTATTTAACTTCACCATTAACAATGATATGTTAATTTTTAACGTGAGTGGTAGTATAAGTCCATTACTCCATATCTTCCATTAGGAACCGTAAGAGGCGACAGAGGGAAACAATCCTGGAGAAGGGTATCAGGGGCATCCTGATGTCAAAAAAAAAAGTCGTTTGCCAACCCTCTTGCCAAGCTTGGCAACAACGGTTATCAGCAAATATGCAGAGTAATGCTCTGTAGAGAACTTGTGATATATTTTAACGCCAACCTGATTAAATTTCAAATATTCTTACAGCTGTATATGCAAATAGAAATAGCACAACACAGAGATGTAGCACTTCAAAGGTCAAAAGACTACTCGAAGTTCACAATGGACACCTATAATCTTACACAAACTTTTAAGGCGTCGTACTACTGTATTACTTCAACAATAAATATGGTGTTATGTAACAAAGCTACTGAGGAATCATTAAAGCTTGTAGACGATATTTGTAATGATTTTGGAGTAGTCTTTCAGATTCACGTAAGTTATTTAATTTTGTCATATTAAAGTAATTTTGATGTTGTTTCCATCGTCCCTAATAATGTAAAAGGACAACGTCTAATCCAGTAAACTTGTTTTTTATCTTGCAATTGTTTCACCCAGAAAATTAGTAATACGACGACTTTAAAAAAAAAAACGTACGCTCATCTTCAAGTAAATCTCGCCAGGCACTGGCCGAGGCAGCCGCGAGTGAGCGCGAACGAGGAATTCAATTATTTTCACAAAATAAAAATAAAAACGATTTTGTAAAATGTGCAACGACATTCCCTCACAGATAGTAAGCCTTTTCACTTGACACACGTTTTACACAGTTTCTTAGTGAAATATCTACCAGGTACAAGTTTGTGTAGCGACTTAACCATTCGTATCTTTATAACTTTTTATCCTGCAAATTATAATAAATCGTATTGCTTTTTACACTCGGCCAGTTTGTTTCATTTTGTATAAAATTGTTTTGTTTTTGAAGTAATTGTAGTAATTTACCTCATGTTAGACTCACAGAGTACAAAAAAGTTAAAAAAAAAACTGCAACGACGTCTTAATGACATTGATGTTATGGAAGTACTCGTAAATTTACAATTTACAGTAATAATGTATTCAGGAGCCGTGGTAGCTCAGATGTTTAGCGCTCGCTGTAAATTTCACAGTACGCGAGCAAACCGGGTTCGATCCCCGCCGGCACCAATGAAATTGTTAATTGCAATTTTAAGTGCTGATTTTACCACGTGCTCGGCGGTGAAAGAAAACATCCTGAGGAAACCTGCATGTCTAAGTAATAAGAAAAAAATTCGAAGACATGTGAAGTTCGCCAACACGCATTGGGGTAGTGCGGCGGACACTTTCTTGCCCTAAAAAACCCTCTCAGAAATGAGGGGAGGCCTGTGCCCAGCAGTGGGACGTATGTAGGCTGTAACTTTAACTTTTAACTTTTAACTAATGTATTCAGAATGCTGATTGGGCTGGCTCGATTTTGAAGGACATTATGGGGTGTTCACCGAGATGCGTGTATAATGCATTTACACTAATATCAAAACGCGATGCAAAACTTTGTGGGGAATCTGAGCTGGCTCCAATAGCGTCCCGAGGACATTTTCTGAAGGTTCGAGTGTCCGTACACGAACCAGTTTTGTGTGGCTCATGTTCTATCAAATTTTTTATATCGTGGTTAACCCAAGCTAAAGTTTTGCTGACAAATCACTCACCTCATATAAAATTCATGAGCACTCACCAAATTTGTTTTTTAAGCCTAGTATATTTTAATATAAAGAATACTAAACTGATAACTCCACAATACATATTATAAGTCTAAGTATTAACAAATAAAAGAAAAATAACATTAGTTTTTTAATAATAAAACTTAATCCTGTGTCAACCATAATTAAAATTATTCATTTGTCACCAAGAGCACAAAATAGATAACAGTACAATAGTGTCTAGAGTTACATTAGCGTAATGAAACTATTGAAAGCTGTAATCAATCCTAAGCCTTGCTCACCTCACATAAATTAATAAAAAGTACTTGCGTACATAAGAAATTAAACATTGATCCGTGGTAGATCAGGATCTAGTTAGTAAAATTATCATTCTTGAGAGATGACTACATATATTTGTTATTTTCTGTAGAGACTATCGGTTCGTAAAGTCCACGTACGGTAAAGTTTCTAAACGAACTGTATCCACGACTTATTGTCGCCTTTTTTGATAAGAGGGATTCTTTTATTGCTCACAAACTAAGAGGAAATAGCAGCAGCTTGACATTCAGAACGCTCTTCGGCACTATACGCCGGGGAGTAGGGCTGTATTATTATTTTAGTTTTTATACATGGTAGAGCCACGTGGCAGCTATATTGTGTAAACGTTGTAAACGAAAGAAAGGGTCGACTCGACCGGGGATGGATCACGCTTTCACAGAATACCAGCATAAAATAGCAGCTTGATGCTGCTGTGTTTCGTATGGTTAGTGTAGAGAACCGAAGACTCGTTTTACTGGAATTGAGGCATTCTGTCTTAGACCTCAGGAGTGATAACGCATTTGCATTTTGATTCTTAATCAAGGTTAAATGTAGATGTCTATGAGCCACAAGAAACACTTACCATCAAGTGGACTGTTTGCTCGTTTGTCACCCTAATTTCATAATAATAATTGTGTAATAATCATAGTTTTATATTTGAATATCATGTAAATAGATGTATTAATTTTAACTTATAAAAGATTTTAATAATAAAACTTATTTTATTTCTTATTCACAGAATGATTTTACCGATTATCTCGATAGTGATGCTTCAATATCGGGTAAATCAAGTACAGACATCCCACTTGGAAAATGTTCGTGGCCCGCAGTATCAGCGCTTCTGCATTGTGACACAAAACAACGCAAAATTTTTGAAGAAAACTATGGAAGCTGGGACCCAGAATGTATCAAGCGCATCCGAGAATTGTACAAGGAACTTAACATGCCAAAACTTTACAAAGAAGAAATACAGTCTCGATATAACACGTATATGCAGAAGGTTAATGCACTTCCTGAAGACGCTACGCCATCACCCGACGTCTTTCGTAAAATTTTAAATTTTTATTGCAGTTATACCTATGATGCATCACGATATTATTATGTTTAAAACTTGTACATTATTACTCGTAATGCATTATACACATTTTTTTACTGCATCAAACAAACGAATTACAGTTTTATTTTCCTATATGGTCATTTCCTGTTTTATTACGAAGTTATTGTAGTTAAACTTCTTACATAAGAAGTCTTTAATTATAAGGTTATAAGTTTTCCTTTCTACAGACATGTCCTAAGCTTTACTTCCGGATCTCGTTTGACTGTTCTTTTAAATTTAGCTAGTTATATATAGTTCTATTAACTAGAAGAAATCTGTAATTCAGTATATTTCATTTTTTTATTGTTGGTGCTCTGATTTTAAAATGGAAAAATAAACAAATGAAATATATAATTTTTCTTCTACTAGCAGTGACTGTTGATGATGTCTGATCAGCGATGTTGCAAACCGTTAACAATCATTGCTATGCGGACAAAAGTACTGGTGATGCTGTATACACGGGCCGTGCAATTAATTACCGGAAAACTTCACCGAGTACCAGGACAAACTTATGTCTAAAGTTGAGACAATTTTGACCAAAGTCTCGGATTGTAGGCGACTAAATCGAGGCCAATTCTACCCCCATAAAGCACAAATTGTGATATAGTCGATATAGTCCTTATGGCAGAATCACTGGAGGATTAAGCACTATGCTCGATGACCTCAATAGTGCCTCTCAACGGATAGGTCTTAACATGAACATGGATAAAACAAAGATCATGTTTAATGTCCATGTCACACCTATGACGGTAGTTGTTGGGAGCACTAAGCTCGAAGTTGTTGACGAGTACGTTTACCTGGGACAAATAGTCCGACTAGGTAAGTTCAACTTCGATCGAGAGGTCAAACGACGGATTCAACTCGGCTGGGTAGCGTTCAGGATATTACGACACATCTTCTCGTCAGGTATACCACAAAACCTGGAAACTAAGTTGTACAACCAGTGCGTGTTGCCAGTGATGACCTACGGAACCGAGACGTGGTCCTTCACTGCTGGCCGTATAGGACGGTAATAGTCATATGACGAGGGCTATTGCTCGGTGTTTCTCTGCATGATAAACTTAGAAATGAGGATATCCGCAGTAGAATCAGAGTGATCGACATAGCCCAACGGATTAGTAAGCTGAAGTGGCAATGGGCCGGCCATATAGCTCGAAGAAGCGACAACCGTTGGGGAAAAAAGGTTCTCGAGTGGCAGTCTCGTACCGGTAGGCGAAGACACCCCCACTAGATAGAGTGACGACCTGGTGAGACATGCAGGAAGTCGATGGATGCAGGTGGCTCAGGACCATGCCTTGTGGCATACCTTGGGGGGAAGCCTACGTTCAGCAGTGGACTTGTGAAGGGCTGTAATGATGATGAATGATGATGATGAAAGCACAAATTTGCGCGTTTACCGCTAAAAAGAACCCCTTTGTCTTATCTCATTAGTTTCAGAGGCACTCTCCTTGTTTTCTCAGCCAGTATTGGAATCCTCGGCGTCAACATATCAAATGACATGTAGTTTCATGGTCACTTGAAAGAGAAGACCAAACTGACCTCTAAAAAGCTTGGCGTGCTCAGCAGAGAGGGACAGTATTTTATACCCACACACTGCCTGTAGCTTAACAAGGCTTAGGTTTGGCCTCAAGTGGAATACTGTTCCCATTTCTGGGCCGGGGCTCCTCAGTGCCAGCTCCTTCCAATTCTGAAAAACTGCTTCCAGTGCAGACCGGTTCGAATCATTGGCGTCCGAGCACTTTCTCATCAGCTTGACGCATTGGCACTGCGAAGATATGTGGCATCTCTTTGCGTATGCTATCGCATCTACCACGGGGAGTGCTCAGAAGAATTCCGACCGCTCAATTTCATCTTCGCACATCGCGACAGAATTTGAGATACCATCCTTACAATTGAATGGCGGTCAAATACTGTGGGATACAAAAAAGTTTTCTTCCTCGCAAACTTTTGTTGTGGAATCAACCACCATCACCGATATTTCAGGACTTTTTTAAAAGGCCGGTAACGCATCTGCAATTCCCTTGGTATTGCAGTTTTTCATAGGCGGCGGTAGTCACTTCCCATCAGGTGAGCCACATGCTGGTTTGCCCCCTCTCATATTAAAAAAAACTCTGATTATTTACCAACCTACCACCTTGTCAAACCAATTTTATTAATTTCACTAGAAATCTCTGCAAAAGACCGGATAAATAAATGATATTCATTTTTGATTAACCTCGGAGATGTTAAAAAATAGATATTAAGGATTGCACGTGCACTTACCACGTACTAGGTGGAAATCTACATATCTGAGAAATAAAAAAATATTTCAAAAAAATATTTATCTAGAAAACTATAGAAACCCTGTGCCCAGGAGTGGGACGTATATACGCAGTAGCTTTAACTTTAAATATTGCAGTAGAATTGACTACTTCTTGAATAAAACTATTATTTACGGATTTTATCGCGTTTAATTACTTTAATTTATTTTTATTATTATCCCGACGTTTCGGGTGCTTTACAGCACCCATGGTCACGGGGGACTGAGATGTTTGACGTCCCAATGTCATAGTTAGTCCGGCTACCTTCAGTTTTTTTAATATTAATTTTTGGTCCGATTTACGCAAAACGAGCTTATAGATCATGAAGTCTTGCAGTGGTATGTTTGGGTTTTGATTTAATTTTTTTTGGTTTAACTTTGAGGAGAAAGCCCTTCTTACTGCTCCTGTAAATCCAAGGTTCTATAAGCGGTACGTAGACGATACTTTCACAATTTTACCATCTGACAAAGTAACTGCATTTTTAGACCACCTTAACTCCATAAACTCTAAAATACAATTCACAATGGAGTTAGAGACAAATAATTCTTTAGCCTTCCTAGATGTTTTAGTCATCCGAAATCCTGATAACACTATTGGTCACACTGTGTATAGGAAAAAGATCCATACCAACCGATATCTAAACGGTGAATCTCACCATCATCCTTCACAGTTAGCTACCGTGGGTAAATCTTTGTTTCAGAGAGCACGAGGGATCTGTGACAGAAAACATCTGGTTGCGGAGCTTCAGCACGTCAAGCAATTATTGCAAGACAACAAGCTTCAGGTCCCGCGCCTACGTCACAGTGAACGATTGAAGCCGGCCACAGTCGAGCGCGTGCCTGCTCTACTACCATATGTCAGAGGAGTCACGGACAAGATTGGCTACATCTTGAAGCGAGCGTCCATTAAGACATACTACAAGCCGCTGAAGAAGATTAGTCAATTTTTACCATCCATCAAATGTAATATTCCTCTACAAGATGCAGGTGTGTACAAGCTAGATTGTGAATGTGGTCTCTCCTACATAGGTCAAACAAAGAGATCTATAAAAACCCGCGTGAAGGAACATATAGCTGATGTGAAGCACCGATGCTCCGGGAAGTCTGCACTCTGCAAACATGTTCAAGATCGTCCCCACCATTACATTAGATTTGATAAACCACAAATTCTCGCAAAAGAACACCGATTCCTACCAAGGATGATACGCGAGGCTATTGAAATTAAAAAACATCCAAAATTCAATAGAGAAGATGGTTGGGTGCTACCATCTGCTTGGGATCTTATAATTAACAAAATTAAACCAAAACCCAAGCATACCACTGCAAGACTTCATGATACTATAAGCTCGTTTTGCGTAAATCGGACCAAAAATTAATATTAAAAAAACTGAAGGTAGCCGGATTAACTATGACATTGGGACGTCAAACATCTCAGTCCCCCCCGTGACCATGGGTGCTGTAAAGCACCCGAAACGTCGGGATAATAATAAAAACAAATTAAAGTAATTAAACGCGATAAAATCCGTAAATAATAGTTTTATTCAATGTGTAGTGTTCGCGTAAATTTAAGAAATCATTATGACTACTTCTTTTTGTCTTTTTCATCAGATTGTGCTTTATGGCATCCCTTGGGCTAGGCCTCTATTCATCAGTGCACTTGTCAAGGAATGTAATGACGATGATGTTAACAAAATGGTTATTTGACCATCTATAAGTAAATGATAAAATCAGGCGTTACTTTGAGGAAATCCATTACAATAAAGAAATTAATTATTTCGCAACCTTCCGCTTACTAAATACAATGATGTGTCTTACCTGGATTGAAGAGCACCTCCCGCCCTCCTTTAATTGCATGCACAAATCCCGTAACCACTAATCTCAGTACCTCCACTCCCGTCACCACTACTCCAGGGAAGACACACCATCGACGATAATACGACACGTGTTTCGCCTCACGAGGCATCCTTAGGTGATCTAGACTCTACGGCGGCTGACCGCTAAGTCACTTAGTAGATGGTGTGTTTTTCTGGAGTAGTGGTGACGGGAGTAGTGGTGCTGGGATTAGTGGTGACGGGATTTGTGCATGCAATTGAGGGAGGGCGGGAGGTGCTCTTCAATCCAGGTAAGACACATCATTGTATTTAGTAAGCGGAAGGTCGCGAATTAATTAATTTCTTTATTCATCTATAAGTATACCTTATATATATTTCTGGTATTTTCCACAGTCGTTACGACACCCACGAGACGATATATGGTATTGGGTATTCTTTTTTCCTAGACACATAATAAATCTGTAAAAAAATTGTGTCGTAATTCTATTATTTCCTCGAGAAAAACAATTCCAACGGACTAAATAAAAGATGTTGAAGTCAAAAATGTGTCCGTATATTCAAGATTCACGCAAAAACTGCAAGGAACTTCCTGTACATTATATATTAAGTCTTTATCTGTGAAACTTCCAACATATATATAGAGAAATTGGAATTATAAAATTACACCGAATACTTTCATTATTCAAAATTTTTACCTAAGCTATTAATACATTTTTTGTCACTTTATGGGTAGTTTATTTTCATTTTACGTTGCCTTTGCTTATAGGAGTCTGCTCCATGAGTATCGTAAAATATTTAAAGACGTTCTTTACTGTGTGTTGGATGGAGTAGTTCTTGCTTTAGCTATATTAATTTGCCAACCTCTTTATTATCAACTCCAC